ACACCCTATATATAGTCCGTCTTAATGAAACACCCTTTATAAGGATCATCTTTTAAATTTGCTTGTTCCTTCCAGATTTCGTTTAATGCTTTTGTTAGTTTGTAAGATGATAGAGTTACATGAAGATAATATCGAATAATTCTATTAGTTATTCTGTTAGGTAGCATGCTTTTTTTTTTTTTAAAAATTTTTCGTATATATATATATATATATATATATATATATATATATATATAGGTGTGGCAAAATGATCTGACACCTTTTTAGGTTTAATAAAATTGCATTTCATTGTGAAAACGTTTATTAAGAACAATGAATCAGTAATTGCTGCATAAAGAGCATTCTGTATACACTTCAGGCTTTTGATAGGCACGAACTCGTACCTGCTTGAAATATGATTTTATTATGGGTTATCAATTTTAGAGCTTGAGAAGCAGCACTAAAATTAAAATTTTACTGTGCCACTAATGCTTGTCGCTGCGCTAAAACCTTCATAATAAAAGGATCATCTTATAAATTTATAATTTGTATTATGAAGGTTTTAGCGCAGATGGATCCTAAGGAGAATTCGTTTAATGTTTTTGTTAATTTATCAAACGATAGAGTTAAATGAAGATAATATCGTATAATTTTATTAGTTACTCTGTTAGGTAGCATGCTTTTTTATTTTTTTACAAGTTTTTCGTTAATGATATATATATATATATATATATATATATATATATATATATATATATATATATATATACAGGGTGGCAGAATGATCTAACACATTTGTAGGTATAATAAAAGCAAAATAGAGTAAAGAATAAAAAATGTGTTTATATTTTTGAAATGTCCATATAATGCCATTTTGTTTCATTTCATTTTTAGTTGCCAACATGAATTCAATGATCGAGCATCGTGCTTTCTTTGTGGAAACGTTTATCAAGAACAACGAATTGGTAACAGTAACAAAAAGAGCATTCTGCATGTACTTCAAGCTTGATAGGCATGATCCTGTATATATATATATATATATATATATATATATATATATATATATATATATATATATATATTGCATTTTTTTTGTGGGGAACGTTTATCAAGAACAATGAATCGGTAAATGCAACACAAAGAGTGTTGGCCTGCTGGATCTCCCTGATTTGAACCCATGCGATTTTTTTCTGTGGAGATGCCTGAAATCAAAACATATACGCATCTCCTCGATCTATTGAACAATTAAATTATATCATTCTTCATGAAACGACCTGTCAATTTATGGGCAACTTTCGTGAACGCATTCTACAGTTTGTGGAAAGTAATGAAAACCGTTGGACTGATTTAATTTTTTAAAATGAAATGAAACAAAATGGAATCACATGCAGATTTCGAAAATAAAAACACATTTTACATTTTTATTCCATTTCACTTTTATTAAACCAAAAAAAAGTGTCAGGTATTTTTGTCGTACCCTGTATATGGGGGTTGTGTATTTTTTATGATACTTCTAAGAGAACATTCGTCTTGCTTTTAGCTTATATGTATTTGGCTTAACATCTACAAAAGCCAAATATATGTCAATTATAAGCAAGACGAATTTTCGGACCATCTGTGTTTTGTCCTCATCCTTACCTATCCACCATTCCTTGCTTTATATGGATGGTTTTTTTGTGTTGTACGGTCGATTGGCACTCACACCTCTCGGCCCGCTGCAACAACTTATTCTCCAATGTGTCTCGGCGATAGGAAACCATCCAGCTCTCCGCCTGATGAAGAGCCGCCTGAAGGAACAACACCACGGCAGAACCCATCCTGCCTCTTATGGATGGATCGGTTACCACCGAATATCTAAAGTGTTCTAGCCCCTGGTACCAGTAGACACCCTTGACGGAGGGCAAACTCAAGTAGACAAAAAGTGCACTCCCCACCACCAAAAGGTTCACCAGTTTGAGAGCCAAGGAACTACACACAAGATTAGAAGAGGAGATGACCATTTATACGCAGAGTTGAGAGACCTGAAACTCTTTTTGCCCTGGAGGCTGTTGGAAGCCCAACACCACGCACGCGAAATCGAAGCCGTACCCGCAGCTCAAGTAGGGACAGAGAAACAGTGTGGACGAATGTTGGTACCACCAAACTTTCAAAAGGCCGTATTAATTACAGTCAAAGGTGTGTTCGGAGTTTGTTGACTGTATTTACATTAACTTCATTTCGGAATTAAAGGTCTTTTATTTTGTTTAGTGGCGAAAATTGCGTTTTGTGTGTTTTCTGAAGGTTTGAAAGGATGTCGTTGCTATTTTTAGCACACAACGACCGTGAAAATTTTTCTATCAGCAGGCCTAGCTGGGGTTGTTTAAAAACCGGATTCATTGGTGTTTGTGCACACTGCTTTATCAAGGCCCTCTCCCAGACCATTGATCATTATCAATTAGAAGAAAAAATATGTCATTCTTCAGGGAAGGTGACTTTCCTTCAAGAGAGTCTGTTATTTGGATGGGTGATTCTGGGATTCCCTCCGGACCTTCCAGTTTTTGACAGTTGGTGATTGTACGTTTTAAGGCAGGTGAGGGTTCTGGGTGTGTTGAGACAGGGTTCTGTCTCCTAGGGATTTTTCCAGAAAAGCTGGTTGACTCTGTCGATGGAGATGGTGTCGTCCGGTTCCCTGATCAATGGTGAGATGCTTCTCAGAGCGTTTTAAGACTTTTGAATGGACCCTGGTATGTTGGTGTTAGTGGTTTCTTTACCGCGTCATTTTCGGACAAAATGAACCACAGTCCTGGAAGCTGTTGTGGAACGTGGATAGCTGGTGATGATTGCCTGGGTGGTGTATACTTCAGTTGGGCCATTTATGGCGAAGTTCCTGAGGAAAAAGGACTTGCAGGTTAGGTTGGGCATGGTGTCGTCGAAATATTAGCCGGGTAAAGAGAGTGCTGTCCTGAAGACTATTTCGGCTGGAGTGCATTCTAAGTCTTCTTTGGAGTGTGTTGCCCGGATTGACAAAAAGGATTAGGGGTAGTCTCGTCTACCCAGTTGCTGGTGGATGTTTTGTAGTTAGAGAGGTCTTTAGTGTTCGGTGGAACCTTTCCACAAGGCCGTTTATGCTAGGGATGGGGGCGGTGGCTTGATGTGTCGGACGCCGAGCAGTTGAGTGAATCTGAAAGAGTGAGGACTGAAACTACGCGCCGCGGTCTGTGGTGATGATGTTAGTACGCCAAAATTGCGATCCACTGAAGGATGGTCTTTGCTACCGTGCTAGCCGAGGTATCTCTGATGGGTACTGCTACTGGCCACCTGGAGAAACGGTCGACCACTGTGGGAGGAGGTACTGATAATTCTGGCACATTGTGGGTCCCATGTCGATGTGGATGTGGGCTGAAACGTGCGTCAGGGTTGCTGAATGTGCCTGGCAGGGGATTTTGTGTGCCAGTGTACCTTGCATTTCTGGCACTTAGCAAGCGCGTTGATACCCAAGTACGATGTCAGTATTCATGTGTTGGGCCACGCGAAACGATCGGCAATGAGTTTGACCATAGCGCGCGCTTGCTGGGATGTGACAATCCATGGAGGTGGTGGAAAACTTGCCTTCTGAGTGCCGAGGTATGTGGGGTCTAAGGTGATCCAGTTTTGTACGCAGTACACTATTTTGTTGCTGAAGGGGCCGGAATTCTTTCAGTTGCAGGGATGTGTTGGCTAGGACTTCAGGGAGGGTTGTGTCGGATTCCTGGGCCTCTGCTATCAGGTCCTGGCTGGTGGGCTGTCTTGCACTGTGTTGACATCAAATCCTGGATAGGCATCGGCAACAGAGTTGTCTTTTCCTTGACATGACGAATATCGGACGTGAACTGTGAGATATATCCAGATGTCTGATCTCGCGAGCCGTATATTTGTCCTGAGTTGTTCGACAGGGTGTTGTCAAGGGTTTGTGGTCGGTCAAAACGGTGAAATTCCGGCCTTCCAGTAGATGTCGCCGAAGTGTTTGACGGCGAGGTATATAGCCAAAAGTTTTTTGGAGAAGGTGCGCTGTATCTGGACTGGGCTGGCGGATAATTTAGCCGAGAAGAATGCGATGGGTTTGCGTTGGTCTCCAACTCCAGTGCGTCTGAGGCACCTGTTGTTAGATGTATCTGAGTCCGGTGTCTTCGTTAAGATCAATGCTAACTTCGTAAAGTTAGCTAAAAAGTTTTTTGCTGCTTGAAATGATTTTTTTCCTGGTCGCCCTCCAGGGGTGATGGCTGTTTTCCTCTGGAGAAGATTTGTCAGGGGGTGAGGAGTTTTTGAGCATCTGGGATAAACCTGCGGTAAAATTTACACCATCCCAGAAGTGTCGTAGCGTTTTATCGATGTGGGCATCGGGAAATCCTGTATATTTTTATCTTATCGGAAGTGGGTGATTCCCTGAGCGTCTGTGTGGTGTCCGGAGGAGATCATGTGTTTGCAATCGGGTCGCACTTGTCTGGGTTGATTCGGAGGCCGTAATGTGTTAGATGGCGAACACTTCTCCAGATGTTGTTTGTGGAGATCAACGTCCCTGCTAGCCACTAGATGTCATCAATGTATGCGTAGACGTATGGTAGTCCACGCGAACTTCGTCCATCAGCCTCTGGAACGTCTGGGCTGCGTTGCGCAGTCCGAAAGGGCATTTTAGGAATTCGAACAGTCAAAAGGGGTGGTGACTGCTGTCTTTGGGATGTCCTCCGAGCGATGGAACTTGGTAGTAGGCTTTGGTTAGGTCAATTTTTTGAGAAAAATGCGGCCCCCAAACCTTGAGGCAAAGTCGTGGATATGCGGAACAGGATACCGGTCGGGCACTGTGGACGCGTTGAGTTTCCGCCAATCACGCAGATCCTGGGAAACCCCGTCGGATTTGGGTACCAGATGCAGTGGTGAGGCGTATGGGCTATCTGAGGGTCGGATGATATGGTCGGCCAGCAACCTCAAAACGCTTTCTGGCATGCTTTAATTTGTGGAGGGGAGTCGTGTCGTGGCCGTAGAATATGCTGGTTGTCCGGTGGTCTTTATATGATGTTGTGTCTGATGGTCGCCTGCATCAGTTGGTTTGATGGGTTGCGTGGGTGCTTGTACCGGTGCAGGATTTCTGCGTAGTGGGGGTCGTGCTGTGTTGCCACGCTGATCCAGTTGAGTGAAGCTCTCGATGGGATCCTGTGATGATCTTGATGGTTGTCATTTGTCGGACAGGTCCTTGTCTTCATATGGACAGCCAGGTTGTAATGTGCCAAAGAAGTCGGCACCGAGCAAGGGCAGTATCCTGACGTCGCTACGGTGAACGTCCACTTGAAGTCGCGCCTGAGGTTGATGTTCAAGGTGAGTTCCTTGTTCCCATGGGTTTTCTGTGGTGGAGCCGTTTGCCGCTCGAAGTTGGAATGGGTGGGTTTCAAGGCGGATCTCTGTTGGGTGGGTGGTATTACGCTGATGGCTGCGCCAGTGTCAACCAGGAATTTGAGGCCATTGTTACGGTCCCACACGTAGAAGAGACGACTGTGAGCGAGCAACGACCAGGGATCGTCGTCGCTGCCTGTCGGTCTATTCGTTTCCTGGGCCTTATTGCGTCTGCAGGAAGCGGGTGGCACTCCCAGGCTCGGTCACCGAAGGTTTGGTGGTACCAACATTTCGTCCACACTGTTTCTCTGTCCTGGACTTGAGCTGCGGCACGGCTTCGATTTCGCGTGCGTGGTGCTGGGTTTCGCTGCCTCCGGCAGGGGAGTTTCAGGTCTCTCAACTTGCGCGTAGCTGGGTCATCTCCTCTTCGAGGCGTTGTGTAGTTTCTTTGGCTCTCAATCTGGTGAACCTTTTGGTGAGCTTGGGGAGTGCACTTTGTCGGCTGAGTCCCCGGCCACTACGTCAAGGGGTGTCTCTACTGGTACCAGGGCTAGAATCAGGTTATATTCGGTGGTAACCGGATCCATCCATAACCCTCGGAGGATGGGTTCTGCCATGGTGTTGTTCCCTGGAGGCGGCTCTTCATCAGGCGGAGGAGCTGGGGATGGTGTCCTATCGCCGAGAGACACATGGAGAATAAGTTGTTGCAGCAGGCCAAGGGGAGTGCCAATCGACCGTACAACTAAAAAGGGGACACAAAGGGCAAGGAGATGGCAATAACAAAGAAGGATGACGAAAAACAGATGGTCCGTTGTGAACGATGGAAATCGTGTCTTTATTCGCAAACGGTGGATGGTAAGCAGACAGAGGTCGTTTGAACGGTGTCCGGACGATAACGGCGCTAGACGTCGATGGGCACTGGATAAAGGTCGTCAGATGGAAGCTGCAGGAACGCTGGGAGTGCAGGAGAAACTGGGAGCTGCAGGAGCGCTGGAAAGGTGCAGGAGGAGCTGGAAGCTGCAGGAGCGCTGAAAGGTGCAGGGAGTGAGCTGTGTTGAGCCTCGAAGAGTGGTGATCGAATGACATTCGGAAGTTAGCCCCTGAAAAGCGACCATTGAACAACTGCTGCTACTGCTGCTGGGTCCCGACAG